GACCTGACGGGCTCGATGGGACGCTGGATCGACCAGTGCAAGACGCACGTGAGCAACGTGATCCGCGGGCTCAAGGCCGACCTCGCCGTCGGCGAGGTGCGCGTCTCCTTTGTTGGCTACCGCGACTGGGGAGAGCGCAACTCGCCGCACGCGCCGCGCGTGGTCGTGCACGAGTTCGTGCCGCTCAGCCGAGTCGACGAGGTCACCGCGGCCATCGGGAGAGAGGGGGCAAACGGCGGCGGCGACGGGCCGGAGGACGTGATCATCGCGATCGAGAGCGCGCTGCGGCTCGAGTGGCGGGGCGACGTGAGGGTGGCTGTCTTCATCGCCGACGCTCCGGCCCACGGCTACAGTGGGCAGGGGCGCGGCGGAGACGATTTCCCCGCCGGACTGTGCCCCGACCAGCGCACGCCGCTGCCCACGCTGCTCGGCCGGCTCGCCAACGAGCAGGGCGTCGACCTCCTCGCGACCAAGCTGAACTCGTACACCGACATCTTTTACAACATGCTCGCCGAGCAGTACCCGGGCGGCGACGGCTTCGGCGTGCTCTCGCTCACCGACGTCGCGCACAAGTTCAAGGCGGCCATCATGGGCGCGCTGTCGGAGGCGGTGCTCTCGCTCATCGCGCCATCGGCAGACGCCGCAGGCGTGCAGACCTTCGATGGCACCACGCTCTCCTCACTCACCGCCACCCTCTCCGCCTCGCTCCGCGAGTCGCTCGACGCCGCCGCCGCCGCCGCGCTGCGCGGCCCGTCGGCGGAAGAGGCCGCCGCCGCCGCGGCGGAGCACGACGAGATGGTCGGCGACGCGGCGTCGCGGCTCGCCGCTCTCGAGGTGGAGCTGGCGGCTGCCGAGGCCGCCGCGGCCGACGCCGATGGCGGCGGCGGCGGCGGCGGCGACGACGACGACGTGGAGATGACGGCGCCTGAGGCGGTGGCCGAGATCCGCGAGGAGGTCGAGGCGGCGCGCGAGACGCTCGCCGCCGCGCGGAGCCGCCCCGCCGCGCCGCGCGCCGCACGCAGCGACGCGTCGCGGCTTCGCGCCGCCCTCGAGGCGGACGAGCTGCGCCCTGTCCGCCTCGCGCTCGGCCTCTCGCTGCCGACGGAGTCGCTCGCCGTCGAGGCCGCGGCCGCGCTGCTGCGCGCGGGTGTCTGCGTCGGCGACATGCAGGCCAAGGGCTACCCAGCCGTTCATCGACGCCATGAGCGCCGCCGGCGCGACGCTGATGAAGCGCATCTGAAGCGTCGGTGTGGGCCGTCGGAGGGTCGGCATGGCCGCCTGGTGCAGCGAGCGTGGCATTCGCATGTCCCAATAGAAAATAGAACGTACCCGGTTTACTGCCCATTTTCGCGCACAAGCACAAGCGGTGTGTAGGCTGTGTTGTTACTGTGTAGTCTGTAGAGTCTCACGAAAACGGTATCACAAGGCTAACCCGCGACACGCACACCCGACGACCACGCGGGGCTTTTCCGCACGAGACCTTACTGTCTAAGCTACTGTATGACCTCCTATGATGCGCAACCTCTAACCTCGTGTCCTACCTACGACTCTATGTACGGCTCCGACCCCACCTAGCGAACATGTGCGTGTGCATGAGGCTGAACCAGCCGCCGCGGCGCCGGTCACTACTCACACCGGCCGGCGCCGCGGCCGCAGCTGCAGCCTCGCCGCCAGCCCTCTCGGCAGCAGCCTCCTCCGCCGCAGCCTCCGCCGCCGGCGAACGGTGGCCATCATGCGCGCCCCAAATCGCCCTCCACGGCCAGCGCGGCCAGCGCGGCCAAGCGACGGCCGTCGCGACGCTCCGCCGCGCGGTGGCGAGGGTGTCGTTGCAAAAGGCGGTGACGCTCTCGGCCGCGCCGCGGGCCGCGGAGTGGACAGTCCGCGAGCCCGCTCGGAAGCGGCTCAGAACCCTCTCGGAGCCCTCCTGCGGGTGTGAGGGTGCGGGTGCGGGTGAGGGCGAGTCGGAGGCGGCGCAGGGCCCCCCTCGGAGCCCGCTCGAGCCCTCCTCGAGATGTCATGTCTCGCCAGATCTCCCCAGACCTCCCCAGATCTCTCCAGATCTCTCCAGATCTCTCCAGATCTCGAGCCCTTCTCCAGGTGGCTCGTCATATCTCCCCATCTCTCGAGACCTCCTTGTCATATCTCCCCATGTCTCCCCATGTCTCCCCATATCTCCTCGAATCTCGAGCCCGCCTCCAGGTGGCTCGTCATATCTCCCCGAATCTCCCCAGATCTCGAGCCCGCCTCCAGGTGGCTCGTCACGTGCTTCGCCGTGCCGAGCGTGTAGTTGAGGTACGGCGCGAGGACGGGCGTGAGGGCGGCGCTCGCCCGCGCAGTGTAGACGGCGGCGGGGCAGGGGCGGCCGCAGCAGAGCTCCGTGCCGTGCATCGCCGACATGCCGAGCGAGATCAGGCCCTCGCACGCGTCGTCCCGCCCGTCGCCCTCGCCGCACCGCTCGAGACAGCGTGCGAGGCCGGCGTTGCAGCCGCGCGTGGCGCCGAGGTCGGTGCCACCCGGCGCGCAGCAGATGTCGTGCTCGCGGCAGCACGCGTCCATGCACGACGGCCGCCCGTCCGCCGACCGGCTCACGTCGCCGTACTCGGGGCCGCAGTGCTCGCTGTCCGCGTCCCACTCGCTCAGGAAGCCGCCGTTGCACCTGTGGCGGGCCGCCGTGGGTCTGCAGTGGCCCGACGCGTGTGGGCGACGCGTGTGGGCGCCGCGAGGCGGCGCGGCGAAGGCGTGCGTGGAGGCGGTGTCTCGCGAGCGTCTCTCCGCGAGCGCTGCTCGCCACATCGAGCCGCAAAAGTTGCCGCAGAGGGGCCGCTCCCAGAGGTCGGTGATCGCGTCCCAGCGGCCGTCGAGCGGCAGCTCGGCGAACTCCCACGCCTGCAGCCTGGGCGCGTCGCGGCGGCGGAGCGCCGCAGGGACGCAGCCCAGGATAAGGCCGCACAGCGCACAGGCGAGGACGAGCGCCGTGCGCCGGCGGGAGGAGGAGGAGGAGGCCCGCGTCTCCACGAGCAGCGTCTCCATGAGCTGGGGTGGCTCCCGGCCGCCGGTGCGCCGGTCCAGCCGCTGGCTGTCGCTGCAAAGGTGGAGCAAAGGCGGATGTCGCCGGAACGGGGCGTTTGTTTTTGACCGCGCAAGACATAAGGGTGGCTAAGGGCTCTGCCCGCAAGGCGCCCGCGTCGCAGACGCGGTACCATTGGCAACTACATGAAATACCCCCACACGAAAAAAATATAATTAAAATTCGTGCATATCGTCGGATTTTCGTTCGGCGACGCAAACTTCTCGTCCGGCGGTCCGAATCCGTGCTTTCGGACGGAGCAACTGAGGGAAGCCGCCCCCCCGTAAGCAGCCCGTCGATGCATGTGGCTCGCGGGGCGGCCACGGCCGCAACGACGCGTCGCCGGCGGCGCTCACTCGAGCCCGAGCCCTCCGCGACGGCAACGCCAGGTCGTCGCGTCCGCCCCGCCAGCCCTTGAGCAGTCTCGACTGCTCCACCGGCTCCTCCACAGGCTCTCGCCGTCGGCCCCGGCGCGCTGCGACGGCGCGCCGCCGGCTCCCACCGCGGCGTCCGAGCTGGAGGGAAAGGTGACGCACCTGATGGAGCTGCTCAAGGCGCATGAGTCGCGGGACGCGGAGGCGTCGCGGCTGCAGCAAGCGCTGCAGCGCCAGGAGGAGGCGGACGCCGCCAAGCTCGTCGAGCTGATGCGACGGCAGGAGGCGGCGAGCGCGGCGGCGGTCGAGGAGGCCAAGGCTGCGATCGAGGCGCAGCTGGTCGAGCGATTCCGCGAGGAGCAGGCGGCGGCGGCGGAGGCGCACTCAGCGCAGCTGCAGCAGCTGAGCGCGGAGCACTCGACGCAGCTGCAGCAGGCGGCGGCCCTCCTGGAGGCGCAGGCGCGCGAGAAGTTTGAGACGGCGGTCGCGCACGAGAGGGTGATTGCGCGCGAGGCGCAGGAGCAGGCGGTGCTCGCAGAGAGGCTGGTGAGCGGAACCTCTCCCCTCCCGCCTCCCCGCTCGCCTTCCCTCCCGCCTCCCGCCTCGACTCCCCTGCCTCACTCCTCCCGACCCATCCCTCACTCCTCACTCCGCCCGCCTCTCCTCTCCCCTCCCTCCTCCCCTCCTCCCCTCCCCCTCCCCTCTCCTCCTCCCCTCCCCCCCTCCCCATTCCCCCTTCCTCTCGCCTCGCGCCCAGCCCAGCCCCGCCACCTCACCGCCCTCCCAGGCGTATCTCTCCGCCCTCAAGCAGCTCGAGCTCGACGTCGACGTGCTCACACGCGTCCTGGCGCCTACTGTATACTTGATGCAGAGCTTTCCGACGTCATTGTGTTTGCCGCTCCGCGCTCGACGCCCGCCGCCGCGCGCGCCCGCGCGCCACCCCTTTTGCGCAGCAACACCTTAAATTTCATGGCCCTCCAAATTCGGGTCGGAGCGTAGCGGAGTGGGCCCCGAGTTTGAAAACGGCGACGGACGCTTGCGTCCTAGCCGCCAACAACGCCTCCCCGGCGCAGAGGGGCCCCCGGAGGGACGCTCAACCGCTCCACGCCCCACGCCGCTTGCGGCGGTCCTATTCCACGCTCGCGCGGGGCGGTTGTTATTTTCTTGGTATTTTGTTGGCAAAGCAAGACAAAGAGCTCACACAAAATCACAGTGGGTGGTAAGCGAACGAGTCACTTCACAGCAAACCCGCGGCCGCAATGAATTAAAAGGCACGGTTTTCGAGGGGGAATCTGGAGAATCTGGGAATCGGCTCACCACGCTCCACGGACCCCCACCTCATCGAAAAACTTTTCACTCCAAGGCATACTATTAATGTTAAACTGCCAGTTTTGCTGCGCATCCCAAACGCCAAAGAGAATAAAGAAAATATCCACACGATCTGTACACGAATAATGGTACATACCCCGGCGGTACCGTGTGCTGTACGATGGTGCATCGGGAAGGGCGGTGCAAGCTTCACTCAACGTTTCCCACGGACATGCGCTCCTACTAGTTTCACATCAATTGGCACAGCGGCAAGACTCGCGGCAGAGAAGCAGCGGCACTGCCCTTCTCGCCCGGGGCCGGCTCGAGTCGCTTCCTGCAGCGCCGGAACTGGTGGCAGCCGGCGCGCGGCTTGCCTGCGAGGGCGAGGGGGTGGGCGCGGGCAGGCGGATTTGGCAGGGGCAGGGCCGATGGCGCGAGGGGTGGAGGCAGAAGAGGGGAGAGGGGGAGGGGGAGGGGGGGGGGGGCTTCCTTGGGAGCAGTGGAAGCCGGCGGACGACTCGTACCAGAGGAAGAGTCGATCCGAGTACGCGTCCCCTGCTCACAGACGCACCGAGTCTCTCTTCACAGCTCTTCGCCTCACACGGTCCGCATCTCCGAGCGCGGTCGTCGCCGAGGTACTCGTACTCAATCTGCACGCTGTGGCAGCCAGCCGCGGCCAGCCGCGCCTATGGGATGCGTCGGGGACATGTCCGCGCACAAGTCCTAGAGCCTCCTCCCGCCACGGCTGCACCGCGCCTGTGGCACGTGTCCTCGGCAGGTCATGGACGTGGGGCTCTCCAGCCGTGGACAAGCAGACGCGGCCAGCCAAGCCTCCGCCGCAGCCGCGAGCGCCGAGGCAATTCCCCGCCCCTGCATGTCGGGCCGCACCTGCTCAGAGCGGGGCGTGGAATGAAGAGGAGCCCACCAGCCCACCGGTTCGGGTTCGGGTTCCGGTTCTGTCTTGCCTCACCGCCATCAGCCCCCAGTGGCCGCACCCCCACGGGGTCCAGCCAGTGCAGAGTGTCGAGGAGCAGCAGCCGACCACCTGCAAGCCGGCAGACACCGCGGCTCCAGCCGAGCACCTCACACCGCAGCCAAGACCGGCAGCATCCCACCTCCGTTCCTCCGTCACACTGGGCGAGCGCCAGGTGCAGCACCCGGTTTGCTCCAGAGCCGGCGTCGCCCGCAGCGAGGCGGCGGAGGACGCCGCCCTTGCTCTCGCGGCCATACCCGTACGCCTCATTGATCAGCGAGACGATCGCGGCGGCGCGGTCCGAGTCAGCGGAGGTGCCAACCACTACGTCCACCTGCGCGGCTGCGGGTGCTGTCAGGCGCGCCGATAGCCGGTCCTCGAGCGTCTCAGCCATCTGCCACTTCCGCCAGTGCTCCGTCCACACCTCAATGGCGATTTTGCTGATCACTAGCGGGCGGAGAGCGATGTTGTTGCGCCACTGCGGAGGTCGAGAGCGGCGAGGGCGGGCTCGGCTCCCGCCACCCCTCCGCTCTTCGTGAGGTATTTTCTTCTCAATAACAAGGTGTGAATAGCGCCATAGGACGTATTTTCTTCTCATAACAAGGCTGTGAAATCAGATTGCGTCGCACGAGCGGTGGCTTCGCTGCCTCGCCGCCTGCGAGCGGCTGGATGCCGAGATGGACGACCCAGACGGCGTCAAACGTCGGGGGGCGACACGCTTCATCGCCGTCTCCCAGTTCGCCTCGGGAGCGTGGCTCGACCTCTGGCTCTGCCCCGACGGCCGGCACTCCTCCAAAATCACCTCGGAGGTTTTTGCCACGGCGCTGCAGCGCCGCCACGGCTACTACATTTCCTGCGCCAAGTACGTGTACGACGCCAAGGAGGCGGCTGGTGAGACAGTCACCATCGGTATGCGGAAGGGCGACCAGCTTGCAAACGGATCGAAGGACATTCCGTGCGAGCACAACATTCGTCACAACGGCACCACGTATGCGACGGCCAACATGGTCCGTGCACGAGCCTGCGGCAAGCTCGTGCTCGGTGACAAGGCGAACCCTCAGACGACTTTCCATCTCAACGAGGGGCACACGTCACCGACATGTGTGGAGATCGGCGGGGACCTGCAGTCCCAGCGCGATGTCCACTATGAAGTCAAGGTGCCTAGCGCCCTCTCACAAAGACGAGGCAGGCTGGGCAGGGCTCGGCGGCACACGGCGGATGCTGTGCGTCACTGGGCCACAAATTTGGTTTCGGCAACACCCTTGACCAAACCTTGCTCAAGGTTCTTGGGTGCAAAGAGCGCGGCCACAAGTCACAGGGCCCGCTCGTCCATGCGACCGGCAAAGGCTGGGTCAAAGACTACGACGCGCTCCATGTCAAGAACGGAATCGTCAAAATTTGTCTCGTCGAAAGCCAGCGAGGGCGGCATCGCGCCGCCGACCAAGAGAATCATCCACAACTTCGCCAAAGAGGTCGGCAGCCCGAGCGCCGTCGACCGCACCGACTACGGCACAGCCTCCGGCAGCGCCCGGGGCTTCGTCCAGCACCACTCGCAACAGCTCTCGCGCGCCGCCGTCTGTGGCGACGCGCAGAACATCAACAACGCTGCTCGCAACATGCGTGTGTCGCGCACTCGTTCATGACCGGTCTCAATGCCCCGCCCCCCTGCGCGCGGGCCTTCTAGGCCCGCGGGTAGTCTCCCCCCATCCCCAGGGCCTCCAGGGCTCGCACCTCAACCTCTCACAGACCAGCGCATAGCGCCATAGGGCGTATTTCTTCTCATAACAAGGCTGTGAACACACACGTTTATGTGAACACACGCTCAACAGAATGTTCAATCTCAATGTCCCACCCCTCTGCGCGCGGGCCTTCTAGGCCCGCGGGGGTAGTCTCCCCCCATCCCCAGGGCCTCCAGGGCTCGCACCTTCATTCAACCTCTCACAGACACCAGCGCACAGACAGCGCCATCGCCCATCGGACGTATTTTCTTGTCAATAACAAGGCTGTGAATAGGAGGCATTTTCTTGTCAATAGATCTAACAAGGCTGTGACAAGCGCAATGTTCAAACCCTGCGCGCGGGCCTTCTAAGCCTGTGGGTACTGTGCCGTACCAAAGTCTGTGCAGCTGTGAACAGCAGCTCCTGGCCACGGCGCCGCAGGCGCCTGTTGATAGGTCCAGGTGATAGCCCTGGATGGGCAATGCATACGCCTCACTGGGCCTCAGATCCCCCGACCGCGTCCCGGTGCTCTGTGGTCGGATTTGTGACGCCGCCGCACCGCGCCGCGGCCGGGGGCCCTCCGGAGGCCGAGGATGGCCGTGACGGACCGGGACGAGCTCTGGGAGGTTCAGTGTCAGTGTATATATTGTAGAGACTGACCATGTGCACAATATCTCTC